ATAGTGAAAACAATATATCAATGCATTTTCCCCAATAATTACAGAATTTATGAGAAAAATTCTTGTGATCAAGTAATTGGGCTTTAGTATCTTTCTAGGCCCGTAAGAATGAGGCCTCAAACTAATCTTGGAAATGGGCCGTAGTTTGAGGCTTAAAGTTCCTCCTTTTACCTGGAAGACCCTTCTCTGATAAGGAAGGAAACGATGTAATCTCGATTCTATGACAAATTCGATAATTTTTCTCCACTATCCAAATAAATATGTATGATCGGATGTAGTTATGTTATATTCGGTCATAATCAGGCTCCTAAGCCAATTAATACAAATAATTTATTCAAAGCCACTAAATCTAGATGGAATATCGTAGAATGTTGAATCTGATTCCATAAAGTTAAAATTTTGAAAGTCGAGATTCTAATTTTTTTAGGTTACGGATTCTAAATTAATATGTTAGTTGTACATATCCAACAGATTTCGTAGGATAAATATAAGATTTGAACTAAAGTTACAGAGTTCAGTTGAATATGTAACTCATATTATAGTTCCACACATCTATCATCAAGGGGTGAGGTGACAAGGATGTATTAACCTCATGATCCCCGTGAAAGAAGAAATTTGTGGTAAGGAGCTAACATTCCCTTTTAATCGATACCCTACATTATATGAATGTGAATTAATTAAGTAAATAACTTTGGATACCGAATGATTATAGAAATATATTATCAGCCAAGAAAGAGAACAAACTATATATACTTTAACAACTTTTAATTCTTTTCCCCATTTCCTGCAAAGTTTCTCAATTTGATTAGAAGAAATAATGGGACTTTTCCATTCGTAAGTTAGAATATTAGTTGAGCTTTAACTGTCTCTTTTCAATTTGTATATATAGTGAAAAGCCTTTTTATATAATAAAAACTAGTCTTATTTTCTATTCTTTTGCACACGAATCAAGCATTAAATAACCATATTGTATATTTGTCACGTTGATTTGCATAAGTACAATAATAACACGAGTGATTAAATTAACATTATCATAAAAATGGATTGTTTTTGAGTTTATGATAGTTTGTATTCACACTACAAGTAAAGCAAGAAAGTGAAGGGGACACTTTGGACCTGTTTAACGATAAAAATTATTCACTTTTGTTTCAAGATAATTTTTCATGACTTGATTTGAAAAACTGTGATTTGAATTCAACTTTAAAATGTATTTAAATATATTCAAACATGAATATTACTCCAAATATTCTTTGCAGAAGTATAACTAGAAACAATCATCCTTTCTTAATTCCAAACTCCGTAAACTACAAATAAAGTGAAAAATATTTGAAACCTCTAGCCAAACATCTCCTTTGCATGACCGAAGAAGAAATAATATTTTCATTTAAAAGATATGGTTGGTTGGGAGGAACACATGTTTTTAAACGAGAAAATAAACTTTTTACAGCTCGATGAAAGTTAGGAAAACAAATTTCACAATCGTTATTATATGTTGATTGTCTTTCCTTCTACTCCTTACACTCCAACTTTAACCTCCCCAACACCCACACTCTACTCTATATACATGCTCAAGATAATTTTTTCGTGTTTGTTAAAAAGATCTATGAAAAACTTACAGTCAAAGATAGACTTGTTTGAATCTCGAAATCTAAAAAGTGTCGCATAAAATAGGACGGAGGGAGTATATGTATATAAAAGCAAATGTACTTTAGCTACCTTGTGGGATTTCCATGACCCGCGGCTACAAACAAAAAATATCATAAAAGTCCGAAAAAAGCAATAAACTTCATGTGGTACGTTAATTAATCAAGATTAGCATGAATATAGATAATCCAGAAATAATAAAGCTATTTCCAATTGTGACCATACCAAAATCAATTAATCCAACTCTTTGTAATCTAAAATTTAGTATTGATAAATCACAATTAACCACTTAATGGTGTTCTTTTAGTTACGTAGAAGAAAAAGAAAGCGTACTTGAAAGTTGAAAGTGGAAGTCTAGTCTTTTTTCTTAAAACAAACAAACAAACAAACAAACAAATAAATAAATAAATAAGGGAGAAGGCTCAAGTACCCCTAGACTATGCCGGAAATCACAGAGACACACTTTAACTAAACTAAGGTCCTATTACCTCCCTGAACTCATTTTATATATAATATTGTACACCTTTTAGCTTATGTGGCACACCCCGTGACTCCACACAATTGAGATGCGTTGGATATATTTGGATGTCACGTAAGCCAAAAAGGTGTACAAAATTACAAAAAAAAATGAGTTCAGGGGGTAATAGGACCTTAGTTTAGTTAAGGTGTGCCTCTGTGATTTGGGTCATAGTCTAGGGAGGTACTTCTACGTTTTCCCAATAAATAAATATAATAGAATATATTTAAAAAGTTGAATGCATAATTAAATCAATGAAAATTACTCTATATCTATGAATTTAATTGTTTGACAAGTTAAGGCACACCACTCAAAGCAGAGCGGAGTGATATTGTTTTATTGAGCTAAGTTCACACGATTTTAAAAAGACCTTACACCATTAAGAATATCTAACACCTTAAAAGTAAGATAATTTTCGTTTCATTTACTGTTGTAGAATTTTGTTTACACACACCAAACAATTCCCTCTCTTAACTAGGTTCCACATGACCATTGTTATATCGATTAAATATGTGTCACAATCACCACATATTTGTGACCACCAAAATTCACTAGCTTCTTTTTATACTAAGTCTTCGAAGCTGTGGATAAAAATAACAAATCAATGATCAAGTAGATGAGTAAAGGCACTAAATCAAGTTCTATGTTTTGAATTTAAATACTTGAGAATAAAATAAATATGCTAAAATTGCCGTCTCTACAAATTTAAATTTAATCAACCTCAATACAAATATTAACGCTTAAAACCAAAAGAATTAAAATAAAAAAAATTAGACAAGTCCAAACAAATGGCAATTAGGATAAGCATTGGCCATATATAGTATAATAAAAACAAAAATAAATGACTCAACTAAATAACAACACTTGGGGCCGCCCACAGAGGGGATTAAAAACCGGGCTGATTCCTAATCCCGGTTTAACAAATAACCGGTCTTTAAATAATAGCCGGTTTTATGGGAACAAAGTTCCTTTAAACCGGGAGAATTAGGTGGGGCCGGGTGGGTGGTGTTTTACGTGACACAAATGTGGCGAACCGCACGCTGTTCCTTTATTCTTTCACGTGGTTTCCACGCGCAGCTTCTTTTTTCGAAATGGAATCTTTTTGCAACATATTGACACCTCATCGACGTGGCGGAGTTAGATAGAGTCGAGAGGTTTGTTTGGACTCCTTTCGGAGAATATATACTTTCATCGACCCTTTCGTATGTTACTTCCTCATATTTCGCCATTGCTAATCAAAGTGGATTTGATTTTTGTCCCTTGATTTATGTTATCTTCCGTTAAATACATGTATCAAATAACTTTGTCCATTCAGACTAGAACAAATATTTTTAAATTTTTTTTATCTTTATTGAGAATTAAATTAGAAACGTCATAATTCTTATGTTACTTTATTGACTACTAAGCGAATAAATGAGATATAATTATAATTTATATCCATAATTTTAATATTATAATGAATTTAATGTGGTAAATCTACAAATTTAAGGTGTCGACTCCATCATTAGCCCAAACCCTTTCGTTGAGGTTCATGACGTATTACATATTTTTTTTAAAACTTCATAATGCAAACAAATCCACAAATTATTCAAAGTTTGTTTTTAATTTTTTTTTAAAGTCAAATATTATTTTAATGTGAATTAAAAATTTGTAAGAACCAGTCTGTTTTTTTTCGTTGACTGAATAATTGTGTTTCTTTTAGTTTTTTTTTTTTTAATTATACATAAAAATTTAAATAGCGCTTAAAAATTGATAGGGTGAAATTCTTTTAATCTCTTTGCTTCCTTCCAAAAAGATCGACATATTTTTATAATTCTTTTTATGGGACATAATTTTTGCAAATGATATAAAATCCCGAGGACAACATCATTTTAAGTGTTTGTGGCTTCATGTCCGATTAATATTAAAGGTATTAAATATGTCAGTTAAATTAAATTTGAGCAGATTAAATTGAATAGAGTTATAAATAGGTGAGTCAATTTGGACTTGCAAAATTAATACTTACTCACAAATCTGATAATTCTGAAATAATATTATTAGTTTATGTCTGTAATCAATTGTTACTCGTATCTTAAATTATCTACTCATCATTAAAGAATAAGATATCACTTTTTAAAATATCTTCTAGAGATGCCAAGCCTTTTTTAGACGTGGAACCAATTTATTTTGTATTTTATGCTAAGCTAATTAATCGAATATATAATTATACTTTATATATACGTTTCATTTTATACAAAATATTTTCCTTCTTTATCTCCATTTTTTAAAAATGGATACATTATTTAATCTAAAGATAAATTGGATTTAATTTTCTCATTAATATAAGTTTTTATAATTACTAAAAATAAGAAACCAATAAGTACATAATACATATTTCAAAAGTTTATAACATAAACAAAAGTAAAATTATTTTAATATTCCGTTATTGATGATCCGTCAAACTATAGATAAATCTCATTATTCTTCGAAATTATTTTTGAGCATAACAAAAAAATATATCCGATATAATTTCATAAGTAAAATTTAAAATAATAAAATTTATTATTATTTTCTCCACATAAAAGGCACACCAGGTGAACCCAAAAAGAGGCCCAAATATTGGGAGAACTTCTTTATAATTTCATATAAAATAAAATAATAATATAAAAAAAACAATTTCTGTTTTTCAGATATTACTTGATCACCCAAACATGACATAAACCCCCGTCCCCCCACCAACCCCACTCACCCACCCCACCCCACCACCCTTTTTCTTCTTCTCTCCTTCGATAAATACCCCTTTTCTCCATTTCTCCGCCTTCACTATAAACATTTTTTCTTCTTCAAATTGCTCAGAACTTTTCTTTTCTCTCTAAAAAAGCATGAGAATGAGCTGCAATGGTTGTCGAGTTCTTCGAAAAGGTTGCAGTGAAAATTGCAGTTTAAGACCCTCTCTTCAATGGATCAAATCACCTGATTCACAAGCCAACGCTACTGTCTTCCTTGCAAAATTTTACGGCCGTGCCGGACTCATCAATCTCATCAATGCTGGCCCCGATCATCTCCGTCCCGGTACATGTTACCTCCTCCATCTTCTCTTCTCTTTTGTAATTGGGGAAAATTTTGACAAATCGATACTCTATCAACTGAGCTATTAAGATTATTTTATTTTATATCAATCTTTTTTTTTATTATTGCTATACTATTTTTAGATTTTTTTTAATAAATCACAAATTTAATTTTCTTAATTACCTTCATATTACTTGAAGAGTTGAATGAATTTTTCTTTTTCCACAACTTTATTTATTAATTATTGTGATTTAATTATAAATATATTTATAATTCACACAAAAGTTAGATCGTTCAATGGCACAAGGTAGTATTTAATTGGATATACTGGATGTGGTTCATTATAACTTTAACTCGAATTCTTTATGTTAATTTTTTTTTTCTAAATTTAAGATTTAAATCTTGAATTTGTGTTAGGATATGTATACATGCAAATGAAAAATACTAACATTGTTTTTTTTGTTTTTTCTCAGCAATATTTAGGTCTCTATTGTACGAAGCTTGTGGCCGGATAATTAACCCGGTAAACGGTTCAGTCGGGTTAATGTGTTCCGGCAATTGGCAGCGTTGTCAAGACGCTGTCGAATCAGTACTCAAAGGATCCACAATCATGCAAGTACCAATCAATAACGATGATGATAATAATAATAATAACAACAACAATACTGATCAAATTGTACCGTTAAAAGGTTGTGACATACGACATGTTTCAAAGAATAACTTAACAAACTCTGATAACCAACAAGTCAAAACTAGGAATGGGCGGCTCAAGCGTAAGGGTACTTTTGATTCTGTTGCTTCAGCTTCCGCAGAAGCTGAAGCAGCAGAAGAGTACTTGTTGAAGAATCAACCCCCGTTGAAGTTCAGTATAACGGGGTGGGATCAATTTGAAGAGATAGATGATGAGATGATCAAACGCGCCCCAAGTCATGACTCGTTTTCAGTTGAAACGGTTGAACCGACCCTGTTGGTGAACCGGGTTGACCCGGTGAAATTGGAGGAAGTTGGTGATCATGTAGGATTAGAGCTTACTCTTGGGTTGATGAGTCCAGCATAATAGTAACAGACTGGTGACTCCCAAAAGCTCTTATTGATTGACGGAGTCGTTTGATACCTCGATTTCGACTCATCACATCCATTATCCTAATGTTGAAGAACAACATTTTGGGTTTTTTTAGTAAAGGGAAAAATAGTTTCCTTTTTTTAATGGTAATCTTTTTTGTTTGTTTTTGTTTTTGTTTTCTCTAGACTTTTTTGTTTTTTTGGTTTTTTATTTTGGAGGCATATATACAAATAGATAAGAGATAAGAAGTGTAATTATGTAGAGATGTTGGTGATCGATCAATGTACGAAATGAAATTGTCACAATTAGTGACTAAGTGATCATTAATAATAATATAGTACTATCTAATTAACTATGACTAGTTGCAACAAATTGTGTATTTTTGAGGATTTTGCACTTATTATTATCCTTATGTTCTGAATTTGCTACTTTGTACTACTTGGTACAAAGGAAGGGACGATAAATTTTAATTTTAGTTCTTATCGTTAGAGATTGAATCTTTAGAATCACAATTCTAATAAGGCATCAATACAAAGCTATTCATTTTAATTTGTCTTTATCTGGTAAAATATATTTAGTTCTTCTTCTGCTTGGTTATCTCAGTAGGAAATTGAAACAATCTATAACAAAATTATAATTAACCTTGGGATTTGCTCTACGAGTTTAATGACATTCAATATTTTTGACTCGTTAAGTTGAAATTTTGAATTTTATCTTTGTTTCCACCCTAATACAATTAACTAGATTTATATTTTTCTTAGATTTTGATTGGCCAAAAAAGATGAAGAACACGTGGATGCATGGAGGAAATTTTGTCAACAAATGCTATGCATGCAATGGGTAAGTAAAGTCTGGATTTTGCCAAGTTTTTGAGGAAACAAAAGTTTATGCTTTACTTTTGCCTTATTTTTATGGATCATAGACACGAGGAACATGCTAGACTAGCTGTTGTGGACATTTTCCCAAGAATCTAGGGGTGTCTATGCAATTAAAAATATATATATTTTTTTAAAATACGTTACATAATTTGAATTAGAGTTTAAAGAAATATAAAGACTTTTGATATATGTGTTTGTTATAGATATGTTATAACATTTGTATAGTTATCAATAAATTCTTGTTAGGGGTAAAATGAGAGATGACAAGTCGTGTTAATTGTCTTCTTTTGGTACCAAGATAGATTCAAAATTGAATTTTATGAATTCTGAATCACGATAACTGACTTTTAAGTGTTTAAAGGACAAAACTTATTGGGTTCAGCCTGTAAATTGCCCTCTAATTCTCCTAATATGTGAAATGAATTAAAAAGAGAAGTGCATCTCATATATTAATGGAATAGACTATATAGAGAAGATTAGTAATCCAAAATTCTAGTGGTCAGTGAAATTGTTGAAAATCATGGAGTTTCACTTTAAATTTATCTAGTAAAAATATTAAATAATTTATTTTTATGTATTCTAGCTTTGATAAATAAAAATATTAGGTACATGTTGTTGATGAATATGACAAATATCTCATGATATTAATTGAGAGACACGCAAGTTAATTTAAACATCACAATTACAAAAAATAATAATCTAGAACTCATTCATTAGTATGATCATCTTTAAGCACGTATCTAATGACTACATGCATTGATGCATTGTCTTTGACGTTAACTAGTTTTATGCACTAATAATATAAAATTAGTATATTGTTAATGTATATAACTTAAATTCAAATCGTAAAATTTGCGTAAAAAATATTCCCCCAATTGTAATGCAAGTTTAAAATGGTTTTATCAAATTAAATAAAAACTTAGAAGGGGAGATGAACAAAAATTAAAAATGGTGCGTGTGGTATGGTGTAAGGGGGAAAAAGTTGACTAATTATAATATTAACATGTAACATATCCAATTATATAGCTAATAGCTTACATCACATACAACCATAGCTTATAATATTTGTTCTATATTATTATATTATTTATATCATATTAGCTTAAAGTTTTAATTGGTAACTTATGTACTAACCAACAATTTGTGAATGTTTTCAACTCAAATGATATTTGGAAGCTTCTCAATTAAGAAAGAGTATAAAAGAATGGCATTATGGATTGCTGACTTGTTGCCAAGCCTTGTTGGTTTGTCACATATAACATATATATTCCAAATCCAACTTGAAATTAAAAAAATCTACAATATTATATAATATTCTTGCAAACACTAAAGGTATATATATTTGGCATAGAGAAAAATATTTTCTCAAAAAAGTATCAAAAGTTTTTCATATTCGATTAGTTAAGATATATTTAAAAAGATTCTCTAGAGAAAACGAATATCTTTAAAAAATGATTGTTTTAGCTAGTAGGAAAAGAGAAAACAAGTTCGATAAGTTACATTGATCAAGCTGATCATTGTCTCCTTCCTATCCCCAACACCCCACCTCCCTCCGCCCTAACCCCAATTTCCACTTCACCCCATTCACGATATTCTCCTAAATTACATATAAATATATGGTCTTAGCTAGGAAGTAGAAAGGGATTCATCCAAACATGTTTCGTCTAATAATTATATTATATGTACATGCTAAATAAATGTGTGTATATATATATATTGAATTTCTCATCTTTTTTTTTCTTATATATATTTTGATTCTCTCTTACTGGAAATTCTGATTATGTAATTGTCATTAGGGAATTTATTTTCATTACGCACTTATTAAACACTAGAATATAAGCAAGAACTAGCTTAGTTTTCATAGAAAATGTCTTCCTTTCATACCAAACACACCCTAAGTCCTTAATTTAAAATATATTTTTCAAGTAACGATTAGTACTTTCATCTTCTAACCTCCAACAACAATTTGCAGTTTTTATGGTTGAAAAAAAATCATTTGCCAGGCACAAGCTTTCTTTAAAAATTATAAGATGACAGCATGGGTGACGAAAATTGGCATGAAAGTGATTTATTAATATTAATTAATAACTAATAATATAATAATTAATTGTTAATTAAAGAGTTTGATTATTTTATTAACAAGCTGAAGTGACGATAGTATCTAGATTCATTGTGTTCAAGTTTCCATTATGCAAACATGTGGAGCCATGATTTGGTAATCCAATTATATTATTTAATATAAAAAAATTTCTTAATACTTTTTTTAAAATTTGCTTTGGCAGGTCGCCTCATAGTTTTATTAATTAATAAAATAATCACTAATATCACTGTCTTGATGCTAGATAGTTTTTGGACATAATCAACTTTACATAATTATTAGTGGGTGCCTATCTTTTATTTTTTGGAAAAATTGTCCTCAGAACTCAGAAAAAATAACAATATAATATAGATGGTAATGAAATAATTAGAATCATTTCATTGTTACCCAAAGATTCCTAATTTAAATTCTTGAAAATAGAAAAATTCTATTGGAGTACTTGGACAAAAATATATACTCCTTAAGGAGTAATATCTAGCAAAAGAATCTTGAGGTTGTGGTGTATGGCTTTAATTGTGCAAAAAATATTTCTTGTATATTATTATAACTATAATGACATTTGTTGTTCGATTTGGTTGTGAATATGTCTTTTGAGCTACGTTATGATTGAGCCTAAAAATATGCATTTTTTATAGACTTGTGTTAAGTCTATTCATCTAAAATGTCATATACAAATTTTTTTAATAAAGTTATTAGTCTCTCTTTTACTTGCTTTTATCAGTTCACCCTCTTCCATAGTTCAAGTTTTATGAGGGAATATTTTTTTGTAGAAACCAAAAAATATTTTACTTCGTTGATGAATCTATCCAAACAAATTCAAATTAATCAGTCAGGTCATTATATTTCGAATACCAGAGACCTAAACACAAAAAGTTCATATTATTTCTTGTATCTAATAATAAAAACACATCAGCTCTAGCACTAAAATACATCATGGAGGGTTAATATACTTTAATCAATATTATAGTCAATATATAGGGAGTCGTGCGTGGGCTGTTTTTCACATAAATGGTAGAACATTAACAAAATACACATAAAATGGCATCATATAAATTAGGAAATTATTTTTTATGTAAAAATAAAAGTTAATATACAATTTAAACAATTTTATGATAAATCGTAGAATTGAGACCCTATAACTAAATCAAACCCCTATAACTGAAAATCAAATAAAATGAAGAAATGACTGATGTAATTTGATTCGATCTAATCATTTATCGGTATTTACGCCCACTCCTAAGTTTATCATAAACACGGCAATCTTATTATTGGATCACAACTTATATACAAATCATCCAATTTGATTGGCTTAACTAATTATTTAATCATTAGTATATATATTAAAAAGACAATACTCTTATTATATGGTCAATTAATAAAGAGTTTTCTCTTTCTTTTTTTTTTTCTTCTTAAATTAAAACTCTGTCAAAGTCATCAGACATGGATTCCATTTTTTTGATGGTATATACTTGAATCTGCCTAATAGTCCACCATAGATTATATTAATAAAAAATATAACAAGAAAACTTTTACTTTTCTTCCTATTTATTATATTTACTTCACAAATATAAAAAAATGCAAGTTGTAATTCCTTAAATAAAATATTACGTGTTAAAAGAATTATTTTATTCCATTTGTTGAATATTACGTGCAAACCGTGATTCCCGACTTGTACATTCAATTTCCTCTAAGAAAGAGTTAAACTAATTGATTAATGAGCATTTTTTTTTATCCCTAATTATGGATAAATTATTGTTTTAATTTTTATGACATCGAACTAAGCATATTAAACCTGCTTCTTGACTTCTACATCCAATTTTGTCAAAGAAAGAGTTAAATGGATGGGTTATTAGCATTTTGGTCGAAAGTAATTGAAAAAAAGAATCTTATTTTAGTCTCTAAGCACATTAAACCTTCTATGAATTAGATTTGTGCACTTTAAATCATGTTTCTCAGATATATTCACAAATGTATCATAATTATTGTTAATTCATATTTGGCAGTAATATAATTTTATATATAAATAGTCAAATATAACATATTTTCTATATGAAGTAATCGAACATCACAAGGATCA